GGATACTGATTCGAGGCCATGCAGCCCAGTGGATACCTCTATTATCCTCATTCTTCCGCCACCAGAATTTGGCCATAATAGCCACCATTTCTTTGCACACTGTTTTTGGGACACGAAAGCAGGACATCGTGAACGTTGGCATAGCCATGGCAATCGTTTTAAGCAGAATTTCTTTGCCCGCTTGAGAAAGAAACTTGGTGCGCCACCCATTGACTCGTAGAGAGAGCTTCGCTGTAAGAGATCGGAGAATAGCCACGCGTGATCCCCTGAATGATTCGTGTAGCCCTAAATATAACCCATCACCTCCTTCATTCGGAATGCCAAGTCGGAGTTTGAGGCTTTGTTTACACTCAGCTCCCAGTTTTTTCCCAAAGACAATGGATGACTTGTTCGGGTTGACACATTGGCCTGAAGCTTCGCTGTAGGAGTTAATGATCTCAAATAGGTGGGTCGACTCAGAGGTATTCGCTTTGCAAAAGAATAAACTATCGTCAGCGAACAGGAGGTGCGTGATCGCTGGAGAGGCAGCTGCCACTTTTAGTCCTGTTATCTTCTTTTGAGATTCCGCCTGCTGGAGCATTTGGACAAGAATCTCAGAGCACATGATAAACAGGTAAGGCGACAGCGGGTCCCCCTGTCTAATCCCGCGAGTTGGTTTTATCTTTCCAAATGGTTGACCATTAATGAGGACCGCATAGCACACAGATGTAACACATCTCATGATCAACATGACCCAATGCTCATTGAAACCTAGGGCTAACAGCGCTTTCCGAAGAAAAGACCACTCAAGTCTGTCATAAGCCTTCGTCATGTCAGTCTTGACTGCCATGAAGTGTTTTGAACAGCTGTCTCTCGTTTTCAGCGCATGGATCATCTCATGAGCAATTAAAATATTGTCAGAGATGAGCCTGCCTTTAACAAACGCTGACTGAGATTCAGAGATCAGCGTAGCCAGCATCGGCTTCATTCGTCGGACCATAACCTTCGAGATTATCTTATACGCGACATTGCAGAGACTGATCGGGCGATAATCTGCGATGGTCACAGGTCTCTCCTTCTTCGGGATCAGACAAATATTTGTCTCATTTAAGCGTTCATCGAGTTCCCCCGACAAGAAAAAGGCTTGGACCATTGTCACTACATGGGGACCAATAGTCTCCCAACAGTTTTGGAACAGATATCCTGTCATACCATCCGGACCAGGGCTTTTACCAGGGTGCATATCAAAAGCAGCAGCTTTAATCTCTTCAGCCGAGACTGGTCGATTTAGCGCTTCATTCTGGGCCTGCGAAACTTTGGTTTGAATGTTGGGGAAGATGTGAGCGGCATCGCTAGGATTATCCGAGCTAAACAGCTTAATGAAGTAATCCTCAGCAACTGCACCCATATCAGCAAAGGAGAAACATTCACGTCCTTCACTATTTAGCAGGGATTTAAGCCTATTGTGGGCTCTTCTCGCCTTGGTAGCCGCGTGAAAGAATTGAGTATTACGGTCACCCTCACGAAGCCACTGAACTCTACTTTTTTGTTGCCAAAAAGCTTCTTCATCCCTGGTGGCTTTATACAGGTCGATCCGGAGTGATTTCAGAGTCCCAGGGTCAAACTGGTTCTGATGCGTGAGGGAGTCTATCTCCGCTTGTAACTCAGCAATCCTCTTGGCAGCATTTGGGATCCGATCTTTCTTCCAAGAGGAGATGTGACCCCGACACCGAGCAAGTAGATCCACCAGGGGCTTTCCCCTCGAATTCGGGTCATCTTTCCAGCAGTCCTTGATCAGGTCTGTGAAGCCCTCCGCCTTAAGCCACCTTTTGTCAAATCTGAATCGAGCTCTCCTATGCGTTTTATCACCCTCCATATTCATGATAATGGGACTGTGATCGGATTCCGCCCTCTGTAGATATAAATAGTGGGCTTGGGGGAAGGCCTCCAACCAATCCGCATTACACACCGCTCGATCAAGGCGACAGTGGACAATGTCATTGTACCTACATCCATACCAAGAAAACATATTGCCATAGAAGGGAAAGTCATTCATGCCGCAAGCACTGAGCATGGCTTTGAAAGCAGCAAAAGACTGATCAGGCCTCACTACACCTCCCTTCTTCTCATCATTGCTCACCAGCTCGTTAAAGTCCCCAGCCATTAACCAGGGTCCAACACGATTCAGGCCGATCCTTGTAAGTTTCTCCCACACAAACTCGCGGTTATCCCTTACAGGGTCGCCATACACAAACGTAACAAAGACAGTCTTCTCCTCCCACGTGATACAAGTATCAATAAAACGAGGAGATGACTCAAGAACACGAACTTGAACAGAATCTTTCCATAACAATGCGAGGCCGCCACTTCTTCCATCCGGTTCCACCGTATGAAGTCCATAGAAGCCTAGGAAACCCACCACACCTTCCAAATAAGGTCTCTTATTCTTGGTCTCGCTCAGGAACATTAAGTCTGGAAAATATCGACCACGTATTTCCGTAAGACGACGAACTGTAGGGGTGTTCCCGATCCCCTGACAGTTCCAAGCCAGCATCCTCATTGGGGGGTGGCTCGGGTGATCCGACACCCAGACTTAGGAGGATTGGTTGCCACAGGGGCAGAAGACACATATTTGGAACCGGAGTACCCAGCACTGATCACAGGAGGGGGAGCAGATCGAGGAGATCCTGCAGTGTGAGAGAGAAGTACTTCGTCTTCATCAGAAGAGTCTTTACCACCTCTGTCAAACCGCGACCTCTTGATCGGGTACTCACTACCCTCATCGCATTTCCGCTTTTTAGAGGGGGATTGAATTGAAACCAGAGAGGATTCAGACTCCTCTTGATTACCCGCTACAATAGCGGATTGCATTCTTTTCTTCTTCCATCTTCGATTACTTTGCTTCTCTTTGGCAGGAAAGGATAACCGCTTCGCTACAGGCGCATAGATAGGGTCACTCTTCGCTCTCTTGCGCGGGTCACCTTTCACAGCCACAGAAGATGAGCAAACCACATCAGCGTGGGAGACAGCGTCGCGAGGTAGACGGGCAGCCAGCTTCTCTCTTACTGCACGACTCAGCAGAGTAGCCTGGGGTGCTTTATCAATGTAGTCAATGGAGACGTCCTGCAGGTTTTCTGGCCCCAAGGATACTTTGCTTGCCGATCTGGACTGTTGAAGGCGATGGCGCAGGTCTTGACTCCCAGAACCACGAGGGCCAGCAGGGGAGTGAACTTCATCTCCAGAACGTTGCTTTGTCCCCTTAGAGTCACCAACTGACTCGCTCCTCAACCGAAAAGGGCAGACATCTTTTTCGTGGGTCAGACGCCTGCAAAGGAAACAACACTTTGACAGTTTTTCATATTCCATCTCAACAATCACTGTTTCACCAGAACGAAATTTCAGCGCCCTCTTGAAAGGGAGAGGGTTTTCCGTATTGAGCCAAACACGGGCACGGACGTGTTCCACCGAGTCAGATTGCTTGGCATGGAGGATGATTTGCTCGACCTCACCCCATCCGTGACAGGCGCTTTTGATGGACTCATCTTTGAGCAAGTGAAGTGGAATACCACGAAATCGAACCCAAAAACAGATTTTGGAAAGATCTTCCGGGGATAGGGATGGGCTCCAGCGTGCAATAGAAACCATCCAGCCTGTGAGGAACCAGGGACCCCTTCGCAAGACGCTCTGAAGGTCAGCTTCCTCTTTGAACGAGAACTGAACTCGATCTACGCCGATACCGCGTCCCCGAACTCTTTCCTCCATCTCCCAGATCCTCGGGAGGCCCAGCACAGCACCGGACACCTTTTGAACGCCCGGATTGAGCAACTGCACCACGAGGCTCAGCGAGTTTGCCTCGATGAGGTCGTCGTTGTCCAGATCTGGGACCTCTACAGGGTTTTCCACATCAGGGATTTCCGATTCGCGAAGCATCTTCTGGAAGTCTTCCTCGACTCTCCGGCGGGGTTTGAACGGTCGCATCTTCAAATCAGCACACGGCCAGAGAAAATCTCAGATTTCTCCAGATGGAAGCGGATCTAACAAAATCGACAGATTGGAACACAAGATAGAAACACCAATGAAGATCGAAAAGGAAGCCACAAGAGCTTAATGGAGCAATCTAAGAGACCAGGAGGTCAGATCTGCTTGGAACAAGGGGGATCTGCGCTAAGACGAAGCTCGCGAAAATCGCCGCCAGAGAGAGGAGAAAATGTACGGAAACCCTATCATCCGTTGTTTCATGTTCATTTTATGGTTTTTTATCCGAATAATTTGCATATTCAACCATTCCCTCTGCTGCATATTTAACTTCTTATCTCCAATTAACGTAATTTTTAAATTTTAATTGCCTTTATCATCATTACTTCTTACTAGTAAAGTTAAGAAATTAACATAGGACCATATCAAATTCATTTATAATTACGATGAATGTGTGATTCAAACCAAAAATCAGGGAAAACAACCCCAAAAATTTCAGTTAATATTATCCACACTAATGTATGGAAAATGCTATGCCTAATTGCATTGTTTTATAACAAAATATTCAGCTCCTACAGTGATCTTCAATGACATTGTCAATGAATGGTGACCTGACATTTGCGAGAACGATTTGGAAAGCATGTACGAACCTCCTTGAAGATATCTGAATCTTGGTTTGCTATATAGAAGAAACTTTGAAACGCATAATCTCATCATCTTGAGAACTACTGAATTCTTTGAGAAAATACCTCACTAATCTCTTCCCGATTCTTCTTTCATAATCAATTCTCTAATCTCATCACACTCCAGACTCGATAACAAACACTGAGGGACACAGCTAAATTCAGTTTGCTATAGCTCAGTCGATTTACAATACACTTCAACAGTGTTCCTAAGATTGGGGAATTGACACTGTTTATACCAAACCGGAATTAAACCATATTGTTAATTTCAACGTTAAACCATTTATATATTATTTCAAATTAATCACACGCAAATCAACATATCTACTTCCAAAGTCATGTCTCGTGAAGATGAACTTTTTATCTTCCCGAAAAACGTTTCTACAGCTAGAATCAGTGAATCACTCACCAAACCTCTTTCTTCAATTGAAGAAGGAGAAGAATTGCTAGAATTTTGTAAGAGATGAAAGAGAGATTGAAGCCCAAAATCAGAAAACCCAGAAATTTGTTTTCCGAATCGAAGAAGGTCACAGTTTCGCTTCTCTCTGTTTTCTTACTCTTCATCATTGTTAATACCTTCTTCTACCCAAGTTTCTACTCCGATTCCGGTTCAATTCGGCGCAATCCCGTCGTTTCCCGAGAAAATCCGGGAAAATCGCACAAGACGAGGGTTTACATGTACGACCTGCCGACGAATTTCACTTACGGACTCATCGAGCAACACGGCGTAGCTCGCGGCGGAGAGAAATCTGACGACGTCACCGGGTTGAAATACCCGGGTCATCAGCACATGCACGAGTGGTATCTCTTCTCGGATCTTAACCGACCCGAAAATGAACGAGTTGGGTCACCAATTGTCAGGGTTTTGGACCCGGCGGAGGCGGATTTGTTCTACGTCTCGGCTTTCTCTTCTCTAAGCTTGATTGTGAACTCAGGTCGACCCGGTAAATCCGGGTCGGGTTACAGCGATGACGACATGGAGGAGAGTTTGGTGGGTTGGTTGGAGAATCAAGAATGGTGGAGGAGGAACAATGGGAGAGACCATGTGATTGTTGCAGAAGACCCGAATGCGTTGAAACGGGTCATGGATCGGGTCAAAAATGCGGTTTTGCTTGTGGCTGATTTTGGCCGGTTAACAGCTGACCAAAGGTCGCTTGTCAAAGACGTAATCATACCTTGTTCTGGTAGGATTGATGCTTATGAAGGCGAGCTTGGTGTAAAGAAGAGGAACACATTGTTGTTCTTCATGAGAAACCGTTCTCGCAAAGATGTAAGACTTCAAATTCTTTAATGTTCTTGATTTTCAATTCGGAAAATAGTTAAAAAGTTGAGTACTTTGAGATAGATAGAGAATTTTCCACCATAGGTAGTTTTCTTGTTCTTGGATTGGAATTGAATGTCAGATTTGTGGTCTGTTTTGTGTTTGTTTGACAGGGAGGAAGAGTCCAAGATTTGCTTTTTAAGCTGCTTGAGAAAGAAGACGACGTTGTGATCAAACACGGAACACAATCAGGAGAGAATAGGCGTGTGGCTAAACAATGGATGCATACGTCTAAGTTTTGTCTACATACAGATGGTGATGCTTCTTCTGGTTGCAGATTATTTGATTCCATTGCGAGTTTATGTATCCCGGTGATTGTAAGTGATGGCATTGAGCTGCCTTTCGAAGATGTTATAGATTACAGAAAGTTCTCTGTGTTCTTGAGGAGTGATGTGGCGTTGAAACCCGGGTTTTTGGTAAAGAAGCTGAGAAAAGTGAAACCAGAAAAGATTTTAAAGTACCAAATGGCGATGAAAGAGGTAAAGAGAGTTTCCTGTTCTGTAATTTTCAACTGTTCACTAGTGAATCCCAAGAAACCAAGATGTGAATTTTGTTTTGTGTAGGTGAGACGATATTTCAACTATACGCATCCAAATGGGAGTGTGAACGAGATTTGGAGACAAGTTACTCAGAAGGTACCGCTAATCAAACTGATGATCAATCGGGAAAAGCGAATGATCAAGAGAGAATCGATTGAACCGCAGTGTTCTTGTTTATGCTCAAACCAAACCAGAATCATCCATGGTGTCTAGTTGGTAAGAGAGAATAAAGCAAGCGAGCTCATACATAGCAACATATGCTGGAATGACTCAGTTGAGTGATGTAAGGCAGTGGTTAACCGTAAATTTCTGTGAAAAGGCCGATTCTTTCGGTTACAGACTTCAAGGCAAGCTCCCATTTCTTGACCGTCACGGCATCATTTGCGTAATTCTGCTTCATTTGCTTGAAACGAATGGTGAAGATTTCTTCTTATCCTCTCCATTGAAATCTGCTTCTCTATATAGAGATTCCCTGCTCTTTTCACGTCACTAGCGGTTACGTTGTAGAAGATTGGGATCACCACGAGTGTCCCTTCTTTCATGTGTTCTTTCATCTCCGCGAGCTCATCCAAACACCACTTTGAATCGCCGTACTTGGAGAATACTGCGAGCGTGATTTTTCGACATCTTGATTCTTGTCAAAAGATACCTTAGTTTTCTCCCTTTCAACTCATGGACATCTAGAAAGACATTGATCTCTCCTTCTCTTAAGGCCATCACAAGACGATTCACGAAATTGTCTCTCAGCTCAGCTCCACGGAAGTTGATGAACACCTGAGGGTGATGTACTTTGGTCTTCATCGCCATTAGAATCGTCTTGTAAAGACTTTGTTGTTCTCATTGCTCCTTGTATAAAAACATAAAGAGAGACCATTGTAAAGTCTACGCGTTTCTGTGTCTTTCTATACTATTTAGGAACAACGAAAGAAAGCACATCGCTGTCTCATGGGATCCAAATACTCTGAATTCCCCGGTCATGGGTCGGGCCAAGAATGCAAATTTCTTTTGTGGGTTTTGACTTTAGAGACTATCAAGCAAAGAGAGCTACACTCATCTTTTAGTTCACCTTTACTCAAAGATCACAAAAGGGAACTAACTAACCATTTCCATTGATAGCTGATCAATGAAGAAGCAAAAGACTTTTAGCCAGGAAAACCAGAATATCTTGTCGTAAGCGTACAGACAAAACCAGAGTAATACTGAACACATTTTTGTTCTCTAAGATACAGATGTACAATGAAACAACGCGAAACAACTTGACGGTGATCAAACAACAAGAGGTCCTCTGTTCTGTTTTCTCCGCACACAACTTAGCTTGTACAAGAAACCAACCAAATGATCTTTTAAACCCATTTCAAAGATGAAACAAAAAACTGTACAACACAGAACCTACTAGTACAATACATCAAACAAACAGAGCATAAAACTACACAAAGACAGTCGAGAACAAAAACAGAACTATGAAGGAGGCAGTGCTTCGTTCTGGTTTTTCTTGTACCAAACTTGCAAGGCAAGAACCAATCCCGGAAAACCTAACAACCATTTACGAGTCTGGAAAAACTTCAGATCAGGGAAAAGCAGAGGGGCTATGATGAAACTAAAAAGAAGGTTGAGGAAAAGAGCCAAGAAAGCAACAAAAACAATAGACAATTCTGTTTCAGTTTGCATGTGTAGCTGTCTCTTAACCTCCCTAACAATCGCGGCGACAAATGCAAACTCATCGTTTCTGCACCAAAAAAAATAAACATGAGTTAGATAAAGAACTGTGATTCTGCTATATGCCTAGTAGAAGAATCATCAAGACTAGTAGATGAACCTGTAATATTCCAGAGAAAAGCCAATTCTTTTAGTCACAGACCTCAAGGCACACTCCCATCTCTCCACCATCTCAGGCTGGGTCTTTGTATTTCTGTTTTCATTTCCTTGAAAGAACGGTAAATTCACCATCAGAAACGCCTTCTCGGGATTTTTTATTGGTATCGGCTGCTCTTTTCACCTCTTCCGCACTTACGTTGAGAAGATAGGAATCACCACGAGTTTCTTTTCCTCCATAAGTTTATTCATCCTCACAAGCTCCTCCAAACACCATTCCGACTCACAGTACCTCTTGGAAAAGATTGCTAGCGCGATCTTTGACTTCTTGATCCTTGTAAAGAGACCTTTTAGCTTTCTCCCTTTCTGCTCGTGGTTGTCAATGAAGACGTTGATCCCTGAGTCTTTCAAGGCCCATACGAGATTCCTGACGAAGTTTTGGCGCAGTTCAGCTCCACGGAAGTTGACAAATACCTGTGGAAGGGGTTCTTGGACCTGCTTCTACATTGGAATAGTGTTAGGTTGGTTTGAAAAACAGAGTATATAGTTGGTGAAGACTTTTCTTTCTCATTTTGTCCTTAAAAAAAAAAACATACCAATAATTAATGACTCAATGCCAAAGTCAAGACCTTTCATTATCTTTCTTTAATATTTATACAAAAGTCAACTTTAAACATCGCTGTCTCTATGGATCCGAATCCTCTGAATTCCGGGTCATGGGTCGGGTCAAGAATGTTTTTAGAAGGAAAATTATCAAGAAAAAAAAACCCTTTACAACGTGTTGACACCAATGAACAAAGACAGAAGACAAGAAACTGTCGTTTTTCATAAAATCACAGACAGAAGCAGAGTAATACAGAGGACACATTTTGTTCTTTGAGGTATAGTAACAAACAATTAAACACATGTACAACAAAACAGTGTAAAGCCATTTGACTAAGACTTGGTATTCAATGAAGAGGTCATCTGTTCGGTTGTGTTCATAGACAATAAACCTGGTACAAAACACCAACCAAAACTGGAATACCTAGTAAACACTTAACAGCCTTGTAAACTTTCACATCAGTGCAAAAGAAACGAGCAGCGAAGAGACTAAAGAGAAAAACCGCAGCTAAAGCCAAAACATAAACTTGTCCTTTCGACATAGTTCTTCTTCCGGCTCCTGAGGAGTATAGTAGCTCGCTATTAACCGACCGTACGATTTCCCTGACAAGACCTAAACCGGTTCTGCAAACATGAGTGAGACAAAAAAGTTCGATGAGACCAAACACGTAGTTGTTTTGACAGAAAATTTACTCACAAGAACCATCAAGAAAATAATTACCCGTGTTCTTCTGAAGTTAAACCGGTTCTGCAAGCTATTGAACTCAAGGAACCCTCCCAATTCAAGAACTTGAGAGGATCGTTTCTGTATTTCTCCTTCATTTCCTTGAAATGAGTACCGAATTCACCCTCGAGGTTCTTCACATCACTCGTGCTCACATCGTAGAAGACAGGAATCACCCTCATGAGTCTGTTTTGTTCAGCGTGCTCGTGCATCTTTTGAAGCTCGTTCAAGCAAATCTCTGACTCTGTATACCTTTTGGAGAAGATGACGACCGCTATGTCTGAATCCTCGATCATTGTGGAAAAGTTTCGTATTTCTCTCTTATTTGCTTCTCCTCTGTCAATGAAAACGTTGATTCTTTCGTCTATCAGTGCCCACACAAGATATCTGATGAAGTTGTCGCGCAATTCATCTCTATGGAAACTGATGAACACCTGAGGAGGACGTTGGTATGATTGTACCTCTGCCATTGGAGGCCTGAGAATTTTTCTTGTTTTGATCTTCAAAAGAAATACAAAATGTCAAGAAGCTGGAAACGGAAACTTGTATAAATTAATAGTTTCTTCTTTTGGACCAATTCATTGATAAAGTCAAAATAGTTTTAAAGTCATCAATAAAAAATATGACATCAAAAACGCTTACAAATATTAATAGTTTCTTCTTTTGGACTTTATCAATGAATTAAATGTCATCACATATATTAAAGAAAAAGACTTTATCAATGAATTAAATGTCATCAATATGACCAACCAATTCATTGATAAAGTCATGTTTTAATACAGTATATGACAATATGACAGTTAATATTCAAGCGTGTTTGACGTAATTTTTCTTTAATACATTGTGACATTATTACACTTTGACCAGGCATAGCTAAAGGAAACCAATTAAAAATCTTTCTATAAAAAGGGTGACATATAGCAAATGTTCACAAAGCAAGAACTCATAGCTATATCACAGACACTCATCAATGGTATACACAAGATCTTAGATTGCACCAAATACTTGTTGACAGAATCTGAATCCAAACAAAATGATACCTGTGGATATGAGGATATCCGTAGTGAAACCAGTCTTTGCTGAATCCAAATATATACATATCAAGTGCTTAATTAGCCCCAATATTCACTCAATGGCCAGAAAGCTTCTAAATGAAAGATAAAATCTTCAAATAAACTACTTCTTAAAAGATCTATTAATGTAATGAACATTAACGTGCGTTGAATCAATTAGTATTAGCTACGGAAAGCATTCTAATTCCATGGAGGCGTGGTAGTAATTTTGCTAAAAGTAAATAAAAAAGAATTGGCTTTAGTGTTCTACTTGTCATATGGAAATGATAAACTGCAACAAACGTATTACCGAAGGAAGAAAGGCGTTGAGAAAGAAACAGAGTTGGAATGGAGTCGTTGACTTGAGGCGGAGAGTTGACTCGGGTAAACTCTGAACTGTTTGGAGGGTTTGCTGTTACTCAATTTTGAGAAGATAAATAGATTCTTGTTTGTATTTTCTTGAGGAGACTTTGAATTTTAAATTGTAGAGAATCGTGAGAGACTTGAGGCGATCACGCGATCGTGAGAGAGAAATTATGGATTTCGAAATTCCGATATTTCTTTTGTAAACAATTTGGATTTCATTGTTGAATATTGTTAGGTGAGCTGGGTTCAGTCAAACACTAGATTGGGCCGGAGGCCCACGAGACTTCGCGATTGGGCCTATATCTTGAAAAAGGCCGGTAGCTGATTAATTCTAGAGTCGTATTCTTCTTCAAGAGAGCTGTACAAGGAACAGAGAGAGAGATTATTCTGTTATAGAGAGAGAAGGCTGAGATACAGTAGAGAGAGTGTGATCGGAGCTTACGGTGTTAAGGCGGTGATCCGGTGGAAAGATTCCGGTCCCGGTCATCTTCTTCCTTTATTCTTTAAGCTGATCTCTATCAAGATTTTAAATACCTTCGGGTGTCTCTTTGTAAACGATTCGATAGTGGAAGCAGTTGAGGGATCTCGTTCCCTCCCCAGAGACGTAGCCATTCCGGTGAACTCTAGGTGAACAAATCGCGTTGTGTTCTTTGATTGCGTATTTGAGTTTATATGCGAAATCAACATTCCTAGATTAGAATCTCTACAAATATATTACATACATACAGATTTATACATTCGATAAGAGTGAATCGAGAGAGTTTATACATTCATTCTTATCAAATGGTGCGTTCGTGATCGGATCGAGCTATGGAGTTTGCGAATTAAGCTGTCAAGTACTATTTTCAGCAATAATGGCTCAAACGACGGAATCAGAGTTGAAGTTCTACGAATTGGGCAAAGGCAAGGATGAAGTACATTCAGAGCTGAAATATCTCACTGATGGATATACATTGTTATCACAATCGGTGGCAACATCAGATCGGAGGCTGGAGAGTATATCTGCAGCTTCGGCAAAGCGATTGGATTCATTGGAACGTCAGATGATGACAATATCTCAGGCTATCGGGAGGATCGAAGCAAGTCAATTCAATCAGCGACCACACGGAAAGGATGTGACAACCTCGTCTTTTTCGGATCCACAGGTACCGATAATATCTCCTGACACCCTACCGGAAGTCTCGAATCTAGGTTGTCAGGGAATGAATATGGCATTAGCTACTCGTGAATCATTGTTGACGAAGATTGATCTTTTGGTTTTTGAGGGAAATATACCTTATGGTTGGATTTTTTCAAGTCGAACAATATTTCCGTATTGGTAAATACACTGAAGAGCAGAAGCTAGAATTGGTTTAGTTGAGCCTAGAAGGCCGGGTGCTGAATTGGTTTGAGGGAGAATTGGCAGAGGCACCGTTTGTGAATTGGAAGAATTTAAAGACAGAATGTTGGCAAGGTTTTCAGTTTTGATTGACGATGAACCGGGGAAACACCTCTGCAGTATTGTTCAGATTGGTTCTGTGCAAGATTACATCAGTGAATTTGATGAACATTACCAGTACCATTACTTCTCAGGTTACTAGTATTGATGAAGCGAACTTGGTGAACATTTTTTACAAAGGACTGAAACCAGAAATGAAGAAGGTAATTAAGCTCAAAGAACCTAAAGGATTAACTGCTCATAAAGCTGTTGTAGTGAAGATGGATGATAGCATGTTGTGCAAGGTTAAGTGACTTGAAAACACCTCGTCAATACACTTATACACCATTCAAACACGTTTCAACAGCAACGTCAAAGAGTCCTAGGACTGGAGAAAATAAGAATGCTATCACAGCATAGAGACCTCAACTACACCTATCTGAAGCTGAACTGAAGTGTAGGAAGGACACCAAGTTATGCTTCAAGTGTGGAGATAACTACTCTAGTGACCATAAATGCCCTAACATGGTTTTACAAGTACTGATCGTTCTCAATGGGCTGGAGTTAGAAGTCTTGGAGGACAACATGATGGCTGTAGAGGTAGAGAGTCCATACGAATAACCACACATGGTGCAGTTGTCTTTGAACGAATTTTTGGGATTGGATTCACCTTCCACAACCAAAATTAAGGGAGAAATTGGTCGTACTTCTATTGTGGTAATGTTGGACAGTGGTACCACGCATAATTTTGTCTCACCAGCATTAATTAAGCGAGCTTACTTGTCTTTAACTCATAACCCCAATTTGAAAGTTTTGTTGGGTACGAGTGTGGCAGTTCATGGTTCAAGGATTTGCTCTGCGGTCACATTTTCTATGCAATGCTTATCCTTTACTACTGATTTCATTGCACTTTAACTGGATGGAGTAGATGTGGTGTTAGGAGTGCAATGGCTACTGATGTGGGTGCAGTGGTCAACACAAGTTTTATCTTATACAAGTTGCAAGTGCACAACAAATGCAGTAGTACTTAGGGATCGAATCCGCAGAGATTTGTGTGCTGAGGACTTCTAACTGATGCTAAAAACAATCTTAGACCTAATAGAATAAAAAAGGTTTTGGTTTGTCACTAAATCTAACTAAGCAGAAAATTAAAAAGTTTGAAATAAAAATCGGTTGAAAACTATATGAAAAAGGGCGCTGGGATTAGGGTTCATCTTTAGAGTTCATGTTCTTTGACACAGAGATTTTAGGTAAGGATTTTCTATGACTCTGAAACTAGGATAGACAATTATAAGATTAGCCAACTCTCTTCACCCTAATCATCTAATCACTTATTCTTGGCAATCAACTCTCGCTCTAATGCCAGAATAAGATCATGCATTTCAGATCGGAATCCATCTCGGCTTACGTATCCTCCGTAGGTAGCTTTCTTCTCCTACGACGTTGACGTCCATAAGATCCAGTTCAGACAACCCATTTACAACACTCTCATGGCTCGGATTTAACCTAGGATCGAACTCTGGGTGATCAATCTAGAGTTACCGCTTTGAGATTTGGATGAAAGGGAGAATCATTTAAAAATCAAAATCTTTTAACCTAAAAATATAGATGTCATTTGAACATATGATTCCCTTTGATGGTCCCTTTACCCATCTCGGTAATTACTCAGACATAGCTGAGCTTGACATCATCATCAGTTTAAGAACTACAAAGCAGAAAAGTAAAGAAACAAAAGTTGCAGAAAAATTTCTCTTTTTGAAGACAGTGTATGACAATGAAAAGTTTCTGATGCATCAAAAAATAAAACCTAAAGCTACAAATAAGTTTTCTCTCAAAGAGATGAAAGAGGCTCCCTCACAAAAGACCTAAAAATGAGTATTTATAGTGTTTTCTCAAGTCTAGGCGTCTAGAACTTGTAAAATGAGTGCAGGAAGTGTCTTGGGCCTTAGTCAGGGTTCTGTGGTTTGGACATAGATCCACCGGGGGTGAAAGAGGCTGAGCTGCAGTGGGGAGAAGCTTTGCTGCGGGTGAAAGCTTCTGTCCTTGATTGAACTGTGTTGATAGGCCTTCAGTAAACTGATGATATCTGGAGATGTAACCATTGGATTGCATTAATTCTAAATGTTTTGAAAATATGGTTGTCTCCTCTATAATTTCTCCAAATATGGGGATGATCAGACGGTGAGAAGGTTTTATTTGGTTGCCAATCTTCTGATGGCTTAATTCATCCAAAAGCGTACTTTTGCTCCAAAATGCACTCCAAGACTCCAAGTTTCCTGAAAATTGTTTTAAAACTCCAAAACATGGAAAACACTTAAAAACTTAAAAACTGAGTAAAAACACCTGCATAAGATATTGAAAGTGATCCATAAGAATGGTCAAAATCAGGTGTTATCAGCTATGCACGCTGGGAAAATTTCAAGTTGATTGGGATCTTCATGAGTTCAGTTTCACTTATAAGGAAAGAGGGGTGACACTAGTAGGTGATCCTGAGCTATGTAACACAAAAATATTCATGAAATCTATGTCGCTGCCTCGAATCATCCAACAGAAAGGAGTGAAGATAAGGCTTAACAATATGAATGTGGTTCCCAAACCGTTAACATCGATACCTGGAAGGATTCAAAATGTGTTGGATGAGTTTACACAAGTGTTTCAAGCTCCTACGGGTTTACTACCTACTAGGGGGCATGAGCACTTGATCATTCTTAAATCAGGAACAGAAGCAATCAGCGTTAGACCATACAAATATCCACAGGCTTACAAGGAGGGTATGAATACATTGGTATCAGAGATGTTAGAGAGTGGTATCATTCGTCCTAGTCGAAGCCCGTTTTTGATTCCTGTTCTGTTGGTGAAGGAAAAGGACAACTCGTGGCGTTTCTGTGTGGAGTATCGAGCATTGAAAAGAGCAACAATGGCTGACAAATTTCCCATTCCCATGATAGATCAACTGCTAGATGAGTTGAATGGTGCAGTGATCTTTTAAAAGTTAGATTTACGAGCAGGTTACCATCAGATTCGAATGGTAGAAGAAGACATTCAAAAGACTGTGTTTAGAACTCATCACGGGCATTATGAGTTCCTGGTAATGCCTTTTGGGCTTACAAATGCTTCTGCGACGTTTCAGTATTTGATGAATAACCTGTTTTGAGCCTTTTTAGGGAAATTTGTACTCATGTTTTTTGACGATATATTGATTTATAGTCGCAGTGAAAAAGAACATGAATCACACTTGAGAGTGGTGTTGAAAGTTTTTGCAGAATACCAGCTCTTTGCGAACAAAAAGAAATGCTTGTTTGCTTAACAACAAGTAGATTACCTGAGTCATATCATTTCAGAAACAGGTGTGGGAACTGATCAGAGTAAAACGATGTCTATGAAGTTGTGGCCAACACCTAAGAATGTTAAATAGTTGAGGGGATTTCTTGGGTTAACTGGATATTACTGGAGATTTGTGAAAGTGTATGGAACATTTCCCAAACCTCTCAGCTTTATTGAAAAAGGATCAGTTCATTTGGTCTTCACTGGCATAAGAGGCTTTCGAACAGTTGAAACAGGCTATGAGCACAACACCTGTTTTGGCTTTACCGGATTTTCAGAAGGTATTCGTCGTAGAAACAGACGCCTCTGGATTTGATTTATGCGCAATATTAATGCAAGATAATAGACCCATTGCGTTCTTTAGTCATGGATTAACTCCACAGGAGCAGCTTAAACCACTGTATGAACATGAGTTAATGACTGTAGTAATGGGGATTAGAAAATGGAATCATTATTTGTTGGGGAGAAGATTTTTGGTACACACTGATCAACTAAGCTTACAATATCTTCTGGAACAGCGTGAGATCAGTATGGAGTATCAGAAATGGCTGACAGAGCTTTTGGGATATGAGTTCGACATCTTGCATAAGACAATCATTGAAAATAAGGCAGCTGATGGCTTATCTCGAATTATTGGCAGCTACAACACTGTTTGCATTTACAGTTCCAACAGCGGTTCAATTACAAGATGTGTATCAAGAAATTGTTGCTGATGCTGAGATTTAGCAGTTGATACAAGATGTAACTCAGGAAAAGTTGGATAAGGTGGGTTATACGGTTTCAGAGGGAAAACTTTGGTATAAATGATGATTGGTGATTCCTAAACAATCTTACTTCATCCCAGTAATACTAAATGAATGTCATGATGGTTTTTTGGGTAGACATTCAGGCGTACTTAAGACGCTTAAAAGGATTCAGCAATAGTTTCATTAGGATGGCATAAGCAAGACAATGCAACAATATGTAGCAGAGTGTCAAATATGTCAGACATAGAAATATTCTACATTGTCTCCAGCGGGTTTGTTATAACCGTGGCCAATAGCAACTCTGATATGGGAAGACATTTCAATGGATTTTGTGGAGGGTCTTCCAACATCTCATGGAATGAATATGGTGTTTGTGTTAATTGACAGATTGAGCAAATACTGTCATTTTATTGGCCTGAAACATCCGTTTAATGCGTTGGACGTGGCAAAGAAATTCATGGTTGAAGTGGTTCGTTTGCATGGATTTCCGCAATCTATAGTATCAGATCGAGACAAGGTGTTTTTGAGTGCCTTCTGGAAGGAGTTGTTTCGCTTATCTGATACTAAGTTGCGTTTTAGTACTGCATTTCATCATCAAACCGATGGGCAGACTAAAGTGCTCAATCAGTGTTTAGAAACGTATTTGAGGTGTTTTGCATCTTCTCAGCCGAGGACTTGGTTCAAATTCTTGGGATGGGCTGAACTTTGGTACAACACATCTTACCATACAGCCTTAAAGATGACCCCCATTCAAGGTGATTTATGGGAGGGATCTCCCAAGTCTTCTGAAATTTGAGACAGGTCCGACTGAAAATTTTGAGCTCGAGACAATGTTAAGAGAGAGAGAGATCCAGTGTTAACTCAGTGTAAGAATCAGTTCATTCACGCACAACAATTGATGAAGAACAATGCCGATAGACATCGTCGGGATGTGGAATTTGCAATTGGCGATTTAGTGATTTGGTGTTTTTGAAGCTTCGACCGTACAGACAGCAGTCAGAGGCTTGCCGTACTTGTCAAAAGTTGGCTGCCAAATATTATGGTCCTTATGAGGTGTTGGAAAGAGTGAAAAAAGCTGCATATCTCTTGAAGTTACTGGCTGAGGCAAAGATTCATGTTGTTTTCCATGTATCGCAGCTTAAAGCGGTGGTAGGAAGAGCTCATACAGTTTCAATACTTCCATCAACGTGTGCTGAATTACAAGATTTGTTGGTTGAACCGGAAAATATTTTAGCTACTCGCTATAAAGATAAGGGTAGAGAAAACAACAAATGTTAGTGTTAAAAACAAAAACAAATGATAACAACAACAAATGTTAGATTTTGCCAATGATAACAACAAATGTTATATCACAAATGCAATTAGAGAAAACAATTCTTCAAAATCAAAAGAAAGATGTGTTAAAAACAAATAATACAGCACACAACGAAATACATAAACAAAAGTAAACAACAGAAACAAACCATTTCCCGCACTTCAAACAGTTTTTTCTTTAATATGGTTAATATTTTTTATGTTTGCTAAATTTATATGGTCTAATATATAACACCATTGGTCTTAGTCGACCCCCTAAGATGATGCTGGTGGTTCACTCGCACGTGGTTGTTTTTATGGTCTTTCCATAAAATCTGGAAGAAGATAACGAAAATTAGAATTCCTACTAACCATGGACCAACGTTAAGAAGCTTCTTATTAGTGAAAATCATACTGGTATGAATTGTCCACAAAAGAAAGCCATCAAACCAGACACGAAAACCATTCCTCCTATCCCTAAATCTCTTGGTTCCGCAGACTTGGGATCTAATTTCACGACCACTTTCTTAACCGTCCAGGCAGTTCTCTGCACAAGAATTGCGTCTGAGTCGGTACATGGGCGTTTGAAATTGAACCCTCTGCAAGTGAGAAAGAAAAAAACGAAACAAAAATTATATATATATATATATATATAAATTACTTTACTCACAAACCCATAAATCATATCTTATTTGTAAAAACAGAGGCTTTTTAAAATTTTTACTAAATTTTTTATTATTCTCTTTTTTGTCTTTATTAGGATAAAATGACGTTTTTAGAGCATTTGCAATGGAATGTTTTTAGAAGAGTTTCTCACCCATAAAAACATAGTAAAATAATAAATATTAGCAAAATTAAATATTAAGAGAGTTTCTCAATATTAAGAGAGTTTCTCATATCAAATTAAATGTTTTAATTAATTTTTAATAAATTTAATTATAAAAAATTAGATAATTGATTAAAAGAAAAATTATATTTAGATTAAAGTATAAAACGAGAAATAAGAAAAACAACAACCACTGTTTATAAAAAAATAAAAATATTTTATTTTAGCATAAGGGAAATCAAAAATAGACTACAAATTCATACCAACAAATATTTTTGCTAATCTTTTTAGCTCATCAGTTATATATAATTTTTTATTTTATGTTACTCATGTTAAGTTAATGTATAATAAAATGATATTATTGATGATTGTTGATAACTTTATTTTTAAACATATTATATATTTCACAGATAGTCTTATTTTATTTTCTAAATTTTTTTTTTATGTTTTCATGGATTATAAAATATTAAATATATAAATCACGTACTCAACTTACCCCAAATTGTCCCAAACCTCGCCGATTATGTCTGCAATGTATTCCACAGCTTCTCTCCATTTCCGAACCTTCTTAATTCTGAGAGCATGTTCCTCTTCAGGATTTCCTTCATTTGTATTCTTAACTTGGCCCACATATTTCTTGCACATCTCCCTGAAGTTTTTGCCAAACTCACCATTGAAGTGTTTCACGTCAGTCGTGGTCACGTTCACAAAGACGGGGATCACCACGAGTTTGTTTCCCTCTGCGAGCTTCTTCATCTTATGAAGCTCGTCCAAACACCACCTTGATTCTGTGTATCGCTTGGAGAAGATCGCAAGCGCGATTTTCGACTCCTTGATCCTCTCGAAGAATATTTTATTGGTCTACCTTTCTCCTCGTTGTCGTCTATGAAGAATTTAATCCTCCCCCTTTTCAACTCAGGCAAGAGACTTTTGATGAAGGTCTTACGCAGCTCCTCTTTGCGGTAGTTTATGAAAACCTGAGGACGGTTGTCCCCAGCTTGAGAAGAGGAAACCGACATTTATTTTAAGAGAAATACCTAGAAAATTGACAAAAACACGAATTTTACAGTTCAATCTTGTTGTCCAAGGTAACGTTAAATTCCTAGGAATGATCTAGTGTCTTTATGAAAAACTCAAAACCAATCTACCATGGCAAAATCTACTTCTGAAGCATAATAACGAAAACAAGTTCTATAAGATTAAAAAAAAAGGTTCTACCAGATTAGAATTTGTATAGAAACAAAGATCAATGGTAGATTTTACTCACCAAAAGTTTGACAAAAAAAAGTGGTGAAATTTGAAGATCTGAGGATGTGCTTGGTTCTTTGAGAGGAAGATTGAAGATGGAACCTTAAGGACAAGTATAGTATCACCTCTCTGAGGTTTTCCTTTGAGAAGAAACGTTTAGGAAATAGAGACTGAAGTCGAGTATTTAATTAGTATTTATAGTAAAAATACCATTGATAAAAAACAAAGACCATAGCTCTTCTGGTTGGCTTTCAAATAGAGACAAGATATTGTGCTTTGGTATACCTTTTGGGTTGGACAGATAGACACACAAATAATGTAGTCTAAATATAAAATAGGCGAAGACTTAGGAATGTTATTCCACAAGAAACGATAAAACGACATCTCCATAAACTATTTTTTTTGTCGTTTTCTTTGTGTTGTTTTATAATTTGGTAATTTGCAAATCCTAGACATATAAAATAGGCGAAGACTTACAAACGACGTGCAAAACATGATAGACAGGCGACGATTCGAAACTTTTTTGGGTGGTTTTTTCAACTGTTTGAGATACCTACCCAAATAAATAGACTCCCAATCGATATGCTTTTAGAGACCTTATTAATATATCATGATCCGACCGAGGAGATTATGGATTTTGTTAAGACCCAAAACTTATAAACACCCAAAAGAAAACGAAAAAAAAAAGCAAAGAATATCTTTGAGTCCCCTTTTCAACTCTCAACCAACGGTGCCTCACACTCTTTGCATTGCGGTGGTTACTTGTGAAGCAAGAAAGTTCTATTTGATGTTTACGTAAACGACCATTAACATTTCGTCACTCTTTAAATAGGACATCAATTATTCATCTGACTGATAATCAACTGCCAGAAAGGCAGAAAATCCATTAAAGATGAAAGTATATATATATATATATGTAAGTATATAACAGAAGCTTCAAGCTTGGATAGAGAAACGAGAATCGCAGAGAACATTTTATTTGATTTTAAAGATAGTAAGAAACAAAATAAAAGCACACAACACACACAAAGCCACAAAAGGTAAATAAAACAAAACAGCAAATAAACTGTAGAATCAAATCAAATATTACAAAGAGTTTCATCGGAGCTAGTAGTCCGTTCTGGTCTTACACGTGGCAGATGATCTGCCAAGCCATGGCAGATGAACTGCCAAGCCATGGCAACAAAAACAAGAAAACCAACGACCCGCTCATGTTTTGCACCAGGAAAAAACAGATAGGCCATGGCAATGTAAACCACAAGAGCCCTGAGAAAAAGTTTTTCACTAGACCAGTATGTTGGCATGTTTAGCTTTCTTTTGACCTTCCTAATGATATCGGCGATCAGTTCGGATCTCTATCTGCAAACAAGAGGGAGAATAATTAATTACAAGATTAGACTAGAGAAGCAATCAAGTGGTGTCTTCTTGCTATGTACAATCAACATAGATTTAGCTCAGTACCCGTTCTCTTTAAAGGTAATACCACCATCTCTTGCGATTGACTTCAGGGAATTCTCCCATCTCAGGATTTTCTCCTGATCATTCTTATTAACGATATTGGGCTAGTTAGTTTGTATTGGGCTTATGTCGGCTATATATCTTGGCTGTCAAGCTAAAGTAGGGTTTTCATATTACTGTATATATATGTTGTATTGATCGATTGTTAATAAGAAACACAAACATATTCAAAGCATCTCTAGCTTTACATGGTAGCAGAGCGATAAAAGCTTCTGAGACCTAATCAGTTTTTTTTAAGTTAAAGTTTTTGTTTACTCTGTTCGAGTGTTTGCAAGTTTCGAAGTTCGAAACTCTTGTTGTGATTACGGTATGGGTGACGGTGCAGAGTCGACAGTGTCCAAAAGCACCACCATCACCACCACGGAGGATCGCAACTCTGAAGCAGCTTCTCCATACTCGTTGTATGGATCCGATCGATAACCCTAGTGCTCTCATAACGTCGGTGACGTTAACCGGTGATAATTACAATGAATGGTGCGGAGAGATGACTAATACTCTTCGTGCTAAACGGAAATTGGGTTTCGTTGAAGGGACTATACCAAAGCCTATTGCAACTGATCCTAATCATGAGCTTTGGCTATCGGTAAACTCCATGATTGTTGGATGGATTCGCACCTCCATCGAACCGCGAGTCCGATCGACGGTGACTTTCATCTCTGACGCTCACAAGTTGTGGGAAAACTTACGGAAACGTTTTTCTGTGGGTAACAAGGTTCGTGTGCATCATCTGAAAGAGCAGTTGGCTGTGTGTCGTCAAGATGGTCAAGCAGTAATTGACTACTATTGTCTAAGCTGTGGGAAGAACTCGACATATGCAAACCTCTTCCAGCCCGCACTTGTTCTGCAATTGCAGAGTATGAAAAAGATCGTGAAGCAGAGAAGATCCATCAATTCGTGATGGGCTTGGATGAGGTTCGTTTCGGAGGACTGTGTCAAGCAATCATCTCTTCTGAAGCTACAGATCTCGGTGAGATTTATGCTAAGGTGATTCGAGAAGAGCAGCGTCTCAACTCTGCTAAAGAACGTGAATCGCAACAAAACGCTGTGGGTTTTGTTGCAAAGAGGGATTCTTTTTTTTGATCAGTTTGGTGCCTCTAACAAATCTGATCAAAACTCCTCTCGTCCTAGAGATCGTCCATCTCAGTGCACTCATAGCGGCCCCTCTGGTCACGATAAAGCGACGTGCTGGCAACTAATTGGGTTTCCTGACTGGTTTGAGGAACGCAATCAGAACAGAGGAGGAGGACGAGGTGCAAACAGAGGTGGACGCGGTGGTGGCCGATCGTGCAAACGTCAAACTCTTCAACGTTTCCCGAATTCACTCAAGAACAATGGTTGGCTCTGACTCAGTTGATTCAGGAAAAGACTAATGGGCGTTCTGACAAGCTTTCTGGTAAGAGTAGATATGGTGATTTAATCCTTGATACAGGAGCTTCTCATCATATGACGGGAGAGCTCTCGTTTCTTGTCGATGTTACTCCGATACCACCATGTCCGGTGGGTTTTGCAGATGGGAATAAAAAGGTTGCCACTCACGTGGGCTTATTTCCATTGTCTGATCGTATCACGTTACTTAACGTCTTATTTGTTCCAAATTTGAACTGCTCGTTGATCTCAGTTTCTAAGTTGTTAAAGCAAACAAATTGTTATGCTTTGCTAACTGATACATTGTGTGTTTTACAGGACCGTTTTACGAGGACCCTGATTAAAGCCGGTGAAGAGTGTGATGGGGTTTATTATTTCAAGGATGTCATGGCTGCAAGGGTTAATCAAGTCACTGGTTCAGTTATTCGTGGTGTTGGTTCAGTGGATCGTGATTTGTGGCATAAGCGGCTTGGGCATCCGTCGTTTTCGGTTATCTCATATTTACCTATGTGTTCTTCTAGTTCAATAAATTCTGTTGTCCCTAGTCCTTGTGACACTTGTTTTAGGGCAAAACAAACTCGCGAGGTGTTTTTTGAAAGTTCTAATAAAGCAATGGAATGTTTTGGATTGATTCATTGTGACGTTTAGGGACCGTATCATATACCAGCTTCGTGTGGAGCTGTTTATTTTTTAACCATCGTAGACGATCATTCTAGAGCCGTATGGACATACTTACTGCTTGCAAAATCAGAAGTTAAATCAGCTCTTCAAAATTTTTGTAAGATGGCTGAAAAGCAATTTGACAAGGTGGTTAAAATCGTTCGGAGTGACAACGGCACTGAGTTTATGTGCCTTTCACAATTTTTTCGAGAGAATGGTATTGTCCATCAGACATCCTGCGTTGGTACTCCACAACAAAACGGCAGGGTAGAGAGAAAACATAGACACATCCTCAACGTGTCTAGAGCATTGTTGTTTCAAGGTAACTTACCGATCACGTTTTGGGGTGAAGCAGTGCTCACAGCCTCTCATCTTATTAATAGGACACCGTCTTCTGTGCTTAAAGAGAAAACACCCTACGAAGTTGGTAATGCAAGGGAAGCCATCGATAAGATAGTGAACATTGTAAATATCTTTGAAATGGAGATAGCCATTCCACCCATTTCATCAAGATAAAAATTTTTTTGGCGGGTTCGGTCAGGAGAGACAAAAGAGAGATGCTTTCTATCAGTCAAAAGGGGATAGCGCCCCCCCGCCATGCTCCCACGGCCCGCTTACTTTAGAAAAAAAATTAGAAAAACATCTTCATTTTTAAAATTATGACGTATCAAAAAATCCAGTAAGACTGTTGAAGTTTTTCTACGTAGGTTCGAATCCTGCCTCTCCCACTTGTTGTAGACTGAAGAGAAGAGAAAGGAGGCATTCGTCAGCGTAGGAAGGCGCACCGAGCGAAGCTCTTTCTTTTTTTGGCCGCCCTCGTTCTGTATCTGAGTTCTTTCGAATTTCTCGTATCGTTTTTCGGCAGAGCAGCGGAGCGAAGTGGGCTGTGTAATCATTTGATTTTTTGACTTTTTTTTGAATCTAATATATAAGGGGTTCTCCTCCAGCTTCGCTGAAGAAGCATTTTCATAACCAGAAGCCAACCTTTGATCATTTACGCGTATTTGGCTCCCTGTGCCATACACATTTTCGGTCAAGAAACAAGGACAAGTTTAGTGCTCGAAGTCATAATTGTATATTTGTGGGATATCCGTTTGGCCAAAAAGGATGGAAAGTATATGACCTCGAAACAAAGGAATTTATTATTTCAAGAGATGTGATATTTCATGAAACTATATTTCCTTTTGCAAATGTTTCGAGTGAAACCTCTTCTTCTCCACCCGTATTA